TCTTCTCGTTTTTTTATTTTTTTTATTTTTATTTTTTTGTATATACTATTGCAACTAATTGGATTAAGGTATACAAGTGCCTGAATATTTTTTTTCCCTTTTTCTTTTTCGAGTGGCACTTGTTTGCCTTCATTCTTTTTTTTCCCCTTTTTTCTTTTTTCTCTCTCTTTCTTCACAGATAAGCATGAGTAGAAAGATAACAGCCCCAGCTTCTTCGATACCAACCTCCTCACCAACTGGAGGACAACGATCTATACAGACAGGAGAAAGAAAAAGAGAAGGAAGTGACACTGCAGATGATCATGCAAGGAATTCAGAAGATTGAGCAAAAAATTGAAAAGACAGATGAGAAAGTGAAAAATATTCAACAGATGATGAAATATGAAGACAGATATCTTTCTCTGCCTCCTCTGCCATCATGTACCATTCACGTAGGTGGTTTGGGGCCCCACGGGCCAGGCAGGCAGCATATAGGTCGTCACTTAGTCCATCTTTGAACCAACAGACTAGGATATCCTCTGGCCAGTCGACTGGGCCAGCCAGGTCACGAAATTCCTCAGTGTATTCAGCTACCGGGCGACGGCCTTGCTTTACGACTCTGATGCAGTCGCGTGCTTTTCTATCAGCGAGAGAGTCTTTGAAGCGGGAGCGTAGGGCCGTCATGAAGTGGTCGAGGTTCCTTAATTCTGGGGCGTTGACGTTGTGGAGCATCACCATCCATCTGGCTGCTGCCCCTTCAAAGGCCAGGGTGACAACTCGTTGGAAAATTCTGCCCGTATTCTTGCATGTAGGTGAGGACTTGCGCCAGGAAAAATCCCAGTTTCTGGGGGTTTCCATCGAATTTTACTCCCAGGGGTGGTACCTTCCTCTGCAGATGTATGTCTCTGGGTTGGTCAGGGTTAATCCCCTGTTCTGGGGTGGTTAGGGGTCAGGTACCTGGTATGGCTGCTGGTTCTTCAGCTTGTCCCGCTGCCCGATCATTCTCAGCTGAATCCGGGGTGGTGGCTCGGGTTCTCTCATTTTCTGGTTCCCTTGCTCTCCTGCGTTGGCGTCCTGGTGCATCCCTCACCTCGAGGTTCTCCAGGGCTTCCCTCAGGAGGCGATTTATGTACCATCTCAGTTGGTCGTCGGCCGGTGGCCCCTCGCCGCATTCTTCCTGAACCGATAGAGCCTCCAGCTCCAATTGCCACCCAGGTTTACGATTACCCCGGGTGAGGGTTACTCCACTGGTTCTTCCATCCCAGCTGTCTCTCTTTCGTATGCCTATAGACTTTGTGGAGGTTTGTGGAGGTTTTGTAGGCAGCTTTGCTATCTTCGATGGGGTGCATCGAGTCAGTATCTGGTTGGGTAACTGTCAATGTTTCTCCCCAGCTTCCCCTTGGTCCTTGCTGTACTCAGACATTTTCCTTTTTTGCCGGGTCCCCTCGGTAGAGTGAAGGTTTTTTTTTTTAAAAAAAAAAATCCTCTCCGGGCTGACCTCTATTGCAGACGCTGCTTTATGTCAGGCTACAGAACTTTTCCCAATCAACTAGAATTAACTTCTGAAAACATATCAAAACGCATCAAAAGGAATCCTTTATTGAGATGAGACAATTGATGTAGGGTTTAAAAGCAGCGTCTAAGGTCTCTCAGGCATGCAGAGATAGATAAGGGAGTTTAAAACCTCTCCCCTTATCTTGATATATATTTAGTAAAACAAAGAGCCAACATGTTAATTCCCCCTACCCCCTTTTTAGAACGATCTTTTTCAGCGTTTCCCAGGGCATACCTAATCCCCCCACCCCCTTTTTAGAATGATCTTTTGCAGAGTTTCCCAGAACACATCTCACTGTGGAATTTTTATGGTCTCTTCATCTCCCGGCTGTCTCTCCCAGAGGTGATAGGTTCCAGCCATCTGGGTTTCATCCCTCCATTGTATCATGTGCAGGTTATACAAATTCGATATAAGATTAAATATATTCAGGTTACATCAAGAAGGATTTCTTTATCAGTCTCCCCCCCTTTTCTTCTTCCATTGAAGAAATGACAGATACACGGATCTGACACAACCTAATATTTATTGCCCTGCTTACAGAAACTGCCTTTCTATCTTATTACATTCTTGGCAGTACCCTAGACTTCCTATCACCTGAGCTCCAGAGTTTTTTTATTTTCTTTGCTGGTACTTTGCTGGGGCTTGACTTTCCTAAAGGGGAAGGATTGTTTTAAGCTTTTTACACTGCTGTTGGGAGGAAATACTCCCCTGGAAATACTTCCAGCCAGGATGCAACAATCAGCACTTTGAAGAAATAATTGAAAAATGAAGAACTGCTGGAAATAAGCTTTTAATGACAAGGAACCAAGATGAGTGACATTCAGCAAGGCCTCTTGGCTAGCTAGAAAGATTGACATTCAAACATAAGTTCACGGACTTCCGGTTTGAAGGGCTTCGGCGACAGACAGGAATCCGCGATTGTGCGCGGTTTCTGTCTGGGCTTGCCGCTGGAGCGCCCCGAGCCGGCTGGCTTCGGGGCTAAGCCACCCCGTAGAGGTGGTAAAGAAGGGGGAGACTGCCAGCTGGCCATTACTCCCTTTCCCAAAGGTGGTAGGAGCGGTGGACAGAAATGGCCACCTCAAAGAAAAGAAGTGAAAGTTTTGGCTGACCGGGCTAAGTTGAAAAAGCAATAACTAAGGTACCCTGGAATTTAAATTTTACAAGAAATAACATCGCTCCCAAAAAAGAGTCGGAAGCAGCGAAAGAAAGTGAAAAGGGAAAGGTTTGACTTTTTTCTTCTTCTCTCTCCTTCCTTACATTGACAACTAAGAGATCGGAATAAGAAATCGGAAAAATCCACTTTGGCATCAATAGGCAATTAAGCTGAAAAAACAACTAAATGCCAAAGGGACAATAAAGATTTCTGGACATTAAAAACTTTTTCTTCTATAAGCAGGAAGGGAGAGAAAAAGAATAAGGGCAGGATCTGGAAGAGGGAGGAGGCTGCCTGGACTTTAAAAGAATCTAAAGTAAAATTTCAATAAGACTTCTAAAAGATAAATTTTAACTGAAACTTTGCAACTAAATAGTAACCCCAGGAAGAGAAAGTGGAAAAAAAAGAAAGAGCAAAAAGAAACAGCTTGTGTGTATTTGGATTACTTGGTGACTTTTGGATTTTTGGCTATTATATTTGAATGACTAAAATCAATCGGGTGGTTGTTTAAAAATTTCTACAATGGCATTACTTTTGGATGAATTGAAAATGGAACTTAAAAAGTACAAAGAAGATGCACAAAAAGGGAAAGAAATGTAACCCGGGATTGTGCTGCTTTCAAAAAAGATGTTTTAATTGTATTTCTTTTCTTTTTGTGAAAACTCAAATAAAATTTACAAAAAACAACAACATAAGTTTACATACCCTTTCTGAGTTTTGGTCTAAAACTGATTTTTGGTCAACTTTAATTCAATGCTTGGTGACATTTGATCCTATGTTTATTGATAGCATAATTTTCCCTATTCAGCTTTGTTTGGATGGAAAAAGGTTAATATCTGTTCCTGAAAAGAAACTGGGTTGAGAAATCTGGCTAGTTCCTGTATCTATTTGTTCTGGTAATTGGTTTAACAAGCAACAGCTACTGTTGTGATTTAATTATTTGTATTGTGTTTGAATTTTTTCCTGCCTCATGGTTTGTTTTTCTATATGGGAAGGAGGTCTTCCTTCACTGCTTTAGTGGTTCCTGGAACTGTCCTTTTGGGGTGTACTTCCAAGAGGCAGGATGCAAGCTTGGCACTGATTTTTTTACTGCCTTTCTGGGGGGCATGTGAACTTTCCTTAAATCTGGATGATTTCCCTAGGATATCTTGTGAGGTGAGATCAGCTGATATCTTTAAGTGGTGCAAATGGATCTACTGTAAGGATTGCTTCTCCTAGGTGCGCTCTTTCGGGAGAGCTTAGGGCAGCTTTTTGCAAGCAAAAAAGTTTTTTGTATTTTTGTACAGGTAATCTTTGACTTACAAAAATTCATTTAGTGACCATTCAAAGTTACAGTGGCACTGAATAAAGTGACATGACCGTTTTTCACACTTACAACCGTTGCAGCATCTCCATGGTCACGAGAGACCAGGTGTCAGCCTTCAAGATCTTCTACTATTGCTTTGCATCTTTTGGCTGCCATAAGTAACGGGGGGAGGAGGGGGTAAAGTCTGGGAAGCGAGCTGGAGGTGTTACATTCTAGTGTTGTGTAAAATGAGGAGGGGGGAGTATAAATTCTTGCTTAGGTTTCTATTTCTCGCTTACCTTGCTTTTCTCTGTGCAACTGCAAACTTTTATCAAAATATGCCAAGGTCAATGGACAGAGGCCTCATCACCACCTGAAGATGTCCACATGATCATATTCACAACTTTTAATTGGAAGAATCATTTGAACTATTGGGAGTGGGAACATTTCTATCACTTTGTATATGTGATTTGCGCGCCTAATTCCTCAGATTCAGAATTCTATGGTTGCTACCACTTCAATTTCAGTAAAAGATATATTTTCTCTAATCTAAGGAGTCTAAGTATTTCTTTCTTGAATTTTGAATGGAGCTCCACCTGACACCAGGCGAGGAGAAGCGCCTTGCGACTTGAGTGATGTCGAGTTGGCCATGCCCACCCAGCCACACCTACCCAGCTGGTCATTAGGGCAGAGAACCAGTTGTTAAATTATTTGAATCCCACCACTGCAGAGTGTATATTACAATGTATATTTAAAAAGGACTTGACATAGCCAGTACACTGCTGCTGCAAAATTGGAAATGTGATGTATAATAACAAAAAATGTACACACACACACACACACTCATATATACAGTATGTATGTATGCATCTATGTATGTATGTATGTATGTATGTATATATATATATACATATGTATGAATGTATATATACACACATACATACATATGTTTTCTTAAGTATATCTATAAACTTATATATATAAACTTGAAGATCACTGAGCTAGTTAAAAATTATAGATGTACGCACTGCTACAGACTTTACAGCTTTAATGAGTTTCTTGCTCTCCAAATTCTTCAGGATCTTGTTGATCTCTGTTAATGGAAGATTGCTTTTGTATCTGATGTCTCTGCTCCAAATGCCTGAATTTTTAAAAAGATGAAAAATTAAATTAGCTGAGTAATGTATCACATATTTGATTACATTGTAGATGGTGGATATTCCTTCTCAAACTTTTTATTTTTCCTCTACTAAATAATTAAATAATACACACACACACACACTCATACAGGTAATCCTTGAGTTAAGATAGGTCACTTAGTAGTAGTTCAAAGTTACGACAATACCCCCAAAAGTACTTACGACCCAGTCCCAAAATTATGACTGTTGCAGCACTCCTGCAGGCATTCATTCTTATGACCAACTGGCCCCACCTATCCCCTCCATTCCTACCCTACTGAGCCCTTACAGATATTGGGCCTGCTTTGCCAACCCACTGGGTTCCATATGCTCCACTCCTCCCCACCCCTCATCTCCAATCACTCACCTTTCCAAGATCTTCAGAATTCAAGAGTTTGGGGTACAGAAGGAGGACAGGAGGCTCCATTGATGGGCCACATGGCAAAGTTCCAGAAGTGACCTTTGTTTTCTGAGATATTGGCGAAGCCCTAGCCTTCCTTCCAAGGCCTTAAGGAAGGAAGGCACTTGCAGCAGTTGAGGAAGAGAGAAACATACATCCCTTTAAGTTCTCAAAAGTCAACCTAGGAGGAAGGGGCAGAAAAGCCAAGGAACTTGCTCATGCTTTAAGAGTTGAACTTGGTCGGAGCACAAACTTCTCCAACCCAGTGCATCTTACTCCTGGGGAAACCTGCCTTTGAAGCCAGCCTAGCTCCTGTTGCTAGACCACGGTGGCAATTTTTCACTACAATTGAGCTGCAGAGAACAGCAGACAAAGCTCTCAGTTGGGACTTTTTGAAATACTGCAAGAGGAATATCAGCAGCAATGCATTCTGTTTCACCCATGTAGGAATCCCTCTCCGTGCAGAATCTAGTCTCTGTTTTAGAAAAGTTGCTCATCCAGAATCTGGATTCCTCATTGAGTGAAGGGAAGCAACTTGGCAACTAGCAAAGGCAAAGACACTACTTGCACTGAGAGCAGAAAGAAACATTGCTCTCTTTCATTTTGCCCAATGGGATTTTGGGAATGTGCAACAAGGCAAACTGCTAAAACTTGAGGTGTCTCTCCCCTCCCCCACTTCATCCTGATAATGAAGGATGCAGATAAAGGCTAAAACACACAGCTTCTTTATTACTACAATTTTAGAGTGTCAAAGCGAAGAAGGCTTGATTTTCTCCCCCAAGCTTTAGCCACATACTTTTATGCTTGGAAAGGAGGCAAAGCAAGCAATAGCTCTCACCCAAGGTTTAGCAGTATATGCTAATGCCTTGTGAAGGAAGGCTAGGGCTTTGCCAGCATTCCAGAAAAAAACAGCCACTTCTGGAACTCTGCCACATGTCCCAGCAATGTTCTTCTTCTGTACTCAACCTCTTGAACTCTGGAGATCTTGAAAAGATAAGTGAACAATCAATCAGTGATGGAGGTGGTGGAGCGGGGGTCAAAGCAGCTCTGAGGATCCGAAGTGGTAGGAAGCAGAGAGTGGGAGGAGACACCTTGGGAGGTTGGAGGCACAGGCAACCCACTTAAGACACTCCATATTCCACCTAATGACACCCACATTCATTTATGAGGGATCCTTGGTATTCTCTGAGCTTGCTTTTCTTGAAGAAGTTTCATCACTGATGACGTTACCTAGTTTGGGTAATGAAATATCTGCAAGAAAGAAAGAAAACTCAGAGAGCACCAAAGACCCTTCATTTCAAACCTGAGCTACAAATATTCTCCTTCATCAGTAACATTCATTTATGTACAGGCTAGACCAGCGATGGGGAGTCTTTCATTTAATGTATCACTTAACATCCTCTTGACTTTAAAATGTAATTGGTTCCATTACATTCAAAACTTGAGGATTATCTATACAACCAGACACATGTACATGTACATGCACACTCCCCTCACATTGATGAATGAGGATGAGATATGGAGAAAATATAGCTATATTCAAAAAGAGGAAACAAAACTAGTGGGAGATGATGGGAACGGAAAAGAAACAACACTGAGAAGAATAAAAATATAGAAAAATTTAGTTAAGCATCACAAAATGATTAAATCTGTAAAGCCAATCCTATCCAAGCTGCAACTAATCTTTTTCTAGCATTTTATAAATAAAAAGGACAGATTCAAGAAGGAATACTGATTTCTTCTTCCAAATAGCTTTCAAACAATAAGTCTCCAACAATGTAGGTAATATTCAATATTCAATTCTCAGGTTTTTTTTTTTAATCAGGCATTTTGCATGAGTTAGCAAATAGTCAGTAAATATCTCTCTCATGCTTCTTCTATCATGGAGTCTGTGCCAAAACTGCTCTGTCACTGTCAGCCAGCCCTGCCTGTCAGCCTCTTGATAAGAATTATTACCAAGGTAAGGGGGCAGAGCTGGCGTCTTGGCAGTACAGCGTACAATCTTGAAGCTCCAAGATCGCCACTGATATCTCCGTCGCAGAGACGGTGACTGAGGAGGGCACATCCTGTCGATCCCAGGGACATCGCAAAGTCCCTGGTTGATCCAGGAAAAGCCCCTTTTCTGGCGGCGGAGAGGCAGCCATTCAAGCTGCTGAAGCTGGGACAGCTCCGGAATGGAAGAGATTGAAAGAAAGTATGACAGTTTGGTGAGATGAACTTTTACTTATTATTTTTTGAAGAGAACACCCTGAAAGACTTAAAGTGAATTAAAAGTGATGACAAAAGAGTTTAAGCGGTGAAATTAAGCTAGTTAAAGTGAAAGTTTTTTTCCCCTTTTATTGAAACTTAGAACTTGGCAAAGCTTCTTAATTTTAAACTGGACTGGACCTTTTTAAAAAATTTTATTCTTGTTTGTATTTTCTTAACAATTTTTTGAAAGTCTGTTTTGACCAAGACTCTTCTTTTTGACCTGAGATTTATTTCCTTTTAAAAAAAAAAGGTTTTTATTTTTTCCTTTTGTTCCTGGCATTGGATACATGAGGGCAGAGCGAAAGTGAAGGGAAAAAAGTAGCTCTGCCATCTAGAGCAGTGGTTCCCAAAGTGGGCAGTACCACCCCCTGGGGGGCGGTGGGATACCTTAGGGGGGCGCTAAGAGGCAAGGGGGCTGGCAGGGGGCGCTAAGAGGTGGAAGGGGGGTGTTCAAGGCCCTGCAGGGTCACCCCATTGACTGCTGCACCACTCCAGAGCCAGCACCTCAAATGCGGCAGCTCCGATGCACCGCACTGTAATGGGCTCCAGGAGGAGGAGGAGGGGATGGAGTAAAGTGCACTAAATTTGAGTGTGCTGCACAGGTGCTGCAAGAGTAGCGAGCAGCCATGGAGCCGGCTGTGGTGGGGCCTGGAGGGTGTGCACGAGAGGAGAAGGAGGGGAGAGGGAGGAAGGAAGCTTCCGCCATGGCTTGCACTCATTCCTCAGCCAACCTGGATTTCCAAAAACTCGCCAAGAAGAAAGAAAAGAAGCTTCTCACACTCTCGGAAAGTCCTGCGTGCTCTACTTGGGGCTCTTCGCTATCCTTTTTTCTTCCTTCCTTTTGGAAATCCGGTCTAGCTGAGGAACGAGTGGAAGTTGCAGTGGAGGCTTCCCTCCTCCCTCTCCTCCTCTCGCTCGTTCTTCAGCCAGCCCAGATTTCCAAAAGGAAGAAAGAAAAGGGGCCAGCAAAGAGCCCCAAGGAGAGCACGCAGGGCTTTCCGAGAGAGTGAGAAGAGACACAGACAGGGAGCAAGAGAGAGCGATATACAGATACACACACACACACACACACACACACACACACACACACACACACAGAGGGAGAGAGATTTGGCTCAGTTCAGCTCTGTCTGCTCCCCTCTCTGTCTTTGCTCAGTTTTGCAAGGATTCAGCAGTGATCTAAGGCAGCAACCTCATAGCACTGTGAGGTAACAGCCTATGACTGTCACTCCTTTTGGAATGCAAGGTTTATTTTTGTATCTTTCCAGAGACAGAAAGAACATGGCCAAATTTTCTTACAGTTATTCCCTGGGTGTGGGAGTTGGGAAGGGGGGTGGGAAGTGGGGGAGAAGGAGGGAGGAAGAGGCATAGACAGAGAAAAAGAGAGAGAGTTAGAAGAGAGAGAGAGAAGGAGATGAGAAGGAGGAAAGGATGGAGACGGAGATAGAGATGAGAAGAGGGAGGAGAGAGAGAGAGAGAGAGCAACCTGTTCCCCATAGAAAACCACAAAACCTGGGGGGGTCATGTGACTCAGTGGGAGTGACATTGAGTTGCCACGCCTATCCATGTCTTGGGGCTCCCGGTATTTTGTTTTCTGTGGGAAACAGGTCCAAATGGCTCTTGGAGTGTTTAAGGTTGCAAACCTCTGTCCTAGGGGGAGGCAGAGGAAGGGGGGCTTTGACCACATGCCCAATATCCAGGATCCTGCTCAGCCAAGCCCACCCCTCTTTGTAGTTGCCGTGCCTGACAGCAAGTTTACAGGGTGTCCCTCCTGCCAGGGATCAGCCTCCCAAGCTGCCCCCCCTCTCGGGGCACTCACGTCGTAGAGGGCGGTGCTGTTCCCTCCTTCCTGGAGCAGGGCAGGGTTGAGGAAGCCCACGGCAGGAAGCTTTGCTCTACTTTTGCGATGTGCCGCCACTGAGTTCGACACATGAGCTCCACAGGCTCACCCCATTGAGCCCCTTGCACCTCTCCGGTGCAACAGTCAATGGGGTGAGCCTGCGGTGCCAGCGCCTCGAATGCCCCCCTGCCACCTCTTAGCGCCCCCAAAGGGGCTGGCAGAGGGGTGCTAAAAGGCGGCAGGGGGGCATTTGAGGCACCGGCACTGCAGGCTCACCCCATTGACTGTTGCACCGCTCTGGAGCCGGCACCTTGAATGCAGTGACAGCGGCTTTGCTTTACTTTCCCAAAGTGCCGCTGCTGTCGCGTTCTGTCTGTCTGTCTGTCTGTTGTCTAACCATCCATACTACCTACCTACTTACCAATATCTATCTATCTACCTACCTACTTATCTACCTACCTATCTACCTGTCT